TTACATTTTACATTTATTTTCAATTTATTTGCAATTACATTTAATATTAAGTTAAAATATCTTAGAAATTATTTTTGGGTCAATTTTCATATACTAAAAATTGTATATATATATATATATTTTCATATAATTATAGGAATATATATTTAATAATGTTATTAATAAAAAAAATTGTTTAATATTATAATTAATATATAATTAATTTATTTAATTTATATTAATTGTAAAATAAATATTTATTTTTTAATATAAATTAAATATATAATATATAATATATTTAATTTCATAATAAGTTCACATGGCTCAGTGAGGCAAATCATCATCCAGTAATGTCCATCCAGTATAATAATATCGTATGTTCCCGAGTTCAAATCCCCGTGGGTAAAAAGAAAAAAAAATTATATTTAATTTTATATTATAAAATATTTTATAATATATTTCAATTTTAATTTATATAATATTGAATTTATATTAATTTTAATATTTTATTAATTTAATATAAATATTAATATAATATTTAATTAAATTATTTTATATTATATAAATATTAATATAATATATAATAATATATATATATTAAATTATTTTAGGTCAAATTTCATATTCAAAAAATTGTACTTTCATATATAATTATAAAAAAAAAAATTATATATATATAAATAAATATATTTAATAATATTATTAATTAATTTATATATAATATATAATATAATATAATATTAATAAATTTATATATATATATAAGAAAAAGAAAAGATGAAATTATGGTGGATGGCTGTTGCCCCCATTCCACATCGTCCTTGGCATCTCGCATATACACATGTACATACACTAACACAAAAAAACATTTATTACTACTATTCACTATCATCATCTTTCATCTACCACTACACACATATTTAGAAGGAAGTTAGGAACACGCATTCTCTAACTATCTCTTTCTCTCTCTTTCTCTCTCTCTTTCTGTCTTTCTTTCCCGAATCTTTCTCATTCACGTTTTAATTCTTTTTTTATTTTGAGGGACGATCCTCGGGAGTGGCACCACCATTCTACCACTACCATACCACTACCATTACCATTACCACTACCACTACCACTACCACTTCGCATTCCATTGACTCATGTCAGAATGAAAAAGATCAACATAGCGGCATAGTTTTCTACCTAGAAAAGTCCCTTCTCTCATCTTTTTTCGATACTTTTGTGAACACAACACTTTGAGATTACATCTATATAAAAATTTAGTATAGAAAAAGAAATATTAGGGGTTGCATAGAAAACTTACAAAAAAAGAAAAAAAACAGAAAAAAAGAAAAAATAAATCACGGATACTTTGTTTCTTTTTTTTTTTTTTNTTTTTTTTTTCTTTAATATTCTTCTTCCTTCCTTTCTTCCTATTTTTTTTTTTTTTTTCATATTATTCTGCTCTTTTTAACCTAGCACTATCAGCATTAGCTGAAACAGGAGATACAGGGGGTTGTACAGAAAGGATAAAAATGTTCACCATAATTACTCTAACACTCTTCTTACCCTACCATCACACCACCATTAGATGCAACAGAAATATGGGGCTTGTATTTAATGAATACAAAAAACAAAATCATTAATCCTATCTCTTTCTTTCTTTTTAATATTTTTCTATCTTCCTTTCATCCTTTCTTCCTTCTCTTCCTCTTATTACTGTATGGTTACTCTTCTTATAGTTACTCTCTTTTGGTTACTTATGGTTACTCTCTACCACCACTACTACCATTACTACCATTACTACTAGAAGGTGAGAGACAGGGGTGGGTAGGGGGAGGGGGTAGAAAAGAAAGGGATATATACAATCATCGTGCAAATATTTGTCCTACGATAAGAAACAAATTGACACGTAAACTTGTGGTTGCGCTCCCGCACGCACTCACTCTTCTTTGGTAATATAACAGCGACATTTTGATCACTACTAACAAACATCGTTCTTCGAGTTTTCTCAAGAAAGAACAAGATATAGAACTTAGAATACACTTATGGTTGCTTGCTTACTCATCCACACTCATGCACAGTCATGTACACTCATGCACAGTCACATGTGTGTCTGTGTGTTCTTTTAGGAGATAAAACAGGAAAGATTTTTCGTGTTCCGATGACAATCATTTCTTCTTCTTCTTCATCTTCTTTCTATTTTTTTTCTACTCACTCATTCACTCACTCACTCACTCACTCACTCACATTTTAAAAAGAAGAAAGATAGTTGAGTTTAACCGTCAAAAATTATCATCCAAACTAAAGAAGAAGGAAAAGTAGAGAAAAGGTATATCGTTTAGTATCGTTTCTTTTTTATGGTGTCCTTCGAAATAAAATAAAAGAAAAGAAAAGAAAAGAAAAGGAAAAAAAGGACTAAGAAAAGTACCCTTGGTTTCTTAAGGAATGCCGTTGTCTTATGTTAGGACTCGCGTTCTTGGGGTCCCATCGTTCTTCTTCTTCTTCTTTACCAGAGCAACCTTTTTAAGATACTCTTTTGGGTTTCGGCAAACAGGAAACGCTTAAAACCCCTCCTTGCTAGAAGAATTCGGTCAAGTATTCAAGTATCTTATGTCTCTCTCTCTCTCTTTTTCTTTTTCTTTAGGTTTCTCTCTCTCTTTCTCTCTGTGTGTGTTTGTGTGGATGTGTGTTTCTCTTAAGTGTTCTCTTTTCGTGATCAATGAATTTCAAATCTTTCACTTTAGTTTTCTTTTTCTTTTTGTAGATAATCATTCATTTATCTGATATACCAAAAAGGTTCTAATTTATCGAAGGTTTTTTCTTTTAGAGGAGGCGGGGATTCTTTTTTGTCTTTTTTGTTGAAATATTTGAGATTTTTTGAGATATTTTTGTAGAATTGTTGTACAAAAAAAAAGAAAGGATCTAATTTATTCAGGATTTTTGTTTTTGCGGACAGATATTTTAGTTATCTATTGTTTGTTCAAATAGTTTCCTACATTATTTATTTATTTTCTTTTCCATGTGTTTTCTTTTTATTATTATTATTTTAGTAAGTTTTTGTTTCATAGGACAAAATTAGAAAACTGCGAACGGCAATCGCGCTTTGTCAGAAACGAAATTAGATCCTCGTCGTATTCCTCCTCGTATTCCTCGTCGTATTCCTCGTGGTGTAATTTCTCTCTCTCTCTCCCTCTCTCTCTTTCTCTCGTATATTTCTTGTACTTTGTCTATCTTTTTAAAGAAATAAATTAGACGTCTCTTGAGGTAAAGAGAAAGAGAAAGAGAGAAAGAGGGAAGAATCATTATTTCGGAGGATTCTGTCAGCTCTTTTGTGACTACGACGAAGACTACGACAACGACGACGACGACGACGAAGAAGACGACGGCGGCGCCGTAGAGAATTTCTACACGAAGTACACACCGATGAATCATCCGGACGATATGCTCACCACGATTTTCCCTTTCTACGTTTAACCCCCCCACACTTCCCACTCTTCCTTTATCTCTTTCTATATCTCTCACCTTCTTTCAAAATCCGCGAGATTAATCGTCCGCGATCGTGAACTCGAACGTAAATCGTCCTTTGGACTTCTTTATGTATCGAGAATTCTCAGCTTTACTTTTCTTATTTTTAATTCTACTACTTCTACTTCTAGTATGTCTTACGGTTTAAAATGATGCTATACAGTTGTTGCAATCAATTTTCGCAATAATTAAAACCAATTATTTATCTGTGAATTATGATGGTATTTATTTTTTATAAGTATAAATTTGTTTCTTTATATGCATCCTGTGTACATTTGTACAAAGGTTTTTTTTTAATTTATATATATTAATTGTTTTATTAAGTCTTTTTTTTTTATATGTTGATGTATTTTCTGCAATATTTTTTATGTAACGATTGATGAAAATTATTTTATAAAATATATTTCTTTTTAATATTTATTTATTTGTTACGTTTTTGGTTTAAATTGTGTTTCAGAATCAGATTATTATATATTTCTATTTATATTCAGATTATTATATTTTATAATATATTATTAATATATTATATAATATTATATATAAGACAATAAATGTGTATATAATTTCATATAATATTATTATTTTATAATATTATTATATAATATATAAATAATAATATTTCTAGATAAATAAATAGAGTATAATACTATTACTATAATGATAATACTAATAATAAATATATATAATATTTATTACATTACTATATACAATTGTAAATATATATTATAACTTATATATTAATATATTTTTCTGTGTGTGTGTAATTATTTTTTTTTTTTAATAATTATATATTTAATTAAGTTTAAAATAATTTAAATAATTTAACTTATTTTAATTAAAATTATAATATGACGTATAATTTTTTTTCTCCCCCCCGGGATTTGATCTGGGGAACATACGATTACTGGATGGACATTACTGGATGGTGATTTGCCTCACTGAGCCATGCGAACTTTTAATTAAAAATATATTATATTANTTTTTCCCCCCCCGGGATTTGAACTCGGGAACATACGATTTACTGGATGGACATTACTGGATGGTGATTTGCCTCACTGAGCCATGCGAACTTTTAATTAAAAATATATTATATTAATATATATTTTATTTATGTCATTATCATTTACATCAATGACAATATTGAACAACCTTTTTTTTCTAATCCATTAACTGCATCAATATATTAATTATTTTATTATTATTATTATTATTATTATTATTATTATTATTATTATTAACATTAATATTAATAATTATTCGTTTTGAATAATACTTACACACATTTTACATACACATTTACGTATAAATAAATGCGTTAAAGAAGCATCTCATACAATTTTGTTTTAAACGAGAAAAATAGGAGCAGGAGGAGAAGGAGGAGGTGGGGGTGGAGGAGTGTCAGATAAAAGTGTTAGAAAATAGTATAATAAAACAAATGACGCGTTGGTGGGAATGAAAGAAGAATAAGATGAAGTTTTCTCTAAAAAGGGGTTGCCCATGTTTATTTTCAGATCGTGCGCCCAGCGAAGGGGATCAACGTCGGTGCAAAAGCAACACGCCCTTACCACTTCCCGGCTCTCTTACCACCAACGGAGAAGGTAATTATCTTTTACAATATTCTATATTTCAAATATTATAATATTAATTTATTAATATAATAATAATAATTATAATCAAGTGAATTTTATCAAAAGAAAAAAGAAAAATTAAAAAAAAAAAAACAATTCGTTAGACAATTTCTTAAGTAAAGTATCAATGCAAATTTCATGTTCAATGAAAACTCATTGAACGCGCCTTTTGTAGTTTATTTAATTTATTATAATAATTATTATTTTCAATTGTTATTATAGTTATTATATTTATGCTTTATACTTTACTTGATATTTTTTTTTTGAAATTTTTCTTAATATAATAATTGAAAAACAAAAGGTTGTGGTGGTATGTTTTGATTATTTTGTTGGATTGTAACGGTTGTTTCAAGTATGGTTTATTAGGTCTACGCCATTGGTTGGTATCAATGGTTACGCCTATATCCAATCCACGTGGCTAACCTTGAACGTCGCCACAAGAACGATTTCTTCTCTTCTTCTTCTTCTTCTTCTTCTTCTTCGTCTTCTTCGTCTTTGCCTTGCCTTCTCTTGCCTTGCGTTTTTCACTTCCGCGTCCTACAATCTCGACGATCCTCTCTACCAGTAAATTTGCCAACAGGTTCTTCTATCTTTCTTTCTCCTTCTTTCTTTTTTGTTTTCTTTTTCTTTCTTTTTTTTTTTTTTTTCTTGGAAAAGTTAAAACAAAACAAGTGACCAAAAATTTATGGGTTTCCAACTCAGTGAGATTGGAAAGTTTTTAGAGACCATTTTTTTTTTCTTTTAGAACATTGTTTCCATTAATCTGCATATGTGTATGTATGTATGTGTGTGTGTGTGTGTGTTTTTTTTTGGATAAATTCGTACAATTTTTTTCAAGTATCCTGATATTGTTTAGTAAAGTTTTCTATTTTATTTTTTTTTAATTTAATTTAAATTCTGTATAAAGTTATTTAATTTTGTAAAATTTAATTTTAATTCTGTATAAAGTTTCTTAATTTTGTAAATTTAATTTTAGTTCTGTATAAAGTTTCTTAATTTTGTAAATTTAATTTTAGTTCTGTATAAAGTTTCTTAATTTTGTAAATTTAATTTTAGTTCTGTATAAAATTTCTTAATTTTGTAAATGTAATTTTAGTTCTGTATAAAGTTTCTTATTTTAGTTTTTAAATTTAAGTTTAGTTCTGTATAAAATTTCTTAATTTTGTAACTTTAATTTTAGTTCTGTATAAAGTTTCTTATTTTATTTTTAAAATTTAATTTTAATTCTGTATAAAGTTTCTTATTCTATTTCCTAAATTTAATTTTAATTCTGTATAAAGTTTCTTATTCTCTTTCCTAAATTTAATTTTAGTTTTGTATAAAGTTTCTTACTTTATTTTTTAAATTTAATTTTAATTCTGTATAAAGTTTCTTACTTTATTTTGTAAATTTAATTTTAGTTCTGCATAAACTTTATTACTTTATTTTTCAAATTTAATTTTAGTTCCGTATAAAATTTCTTAATTTTGTAAATTAAATTTTAATTCTGTATAAAGTTTCTTACTTTATTTTTTAAATTTAATTTTAATTTTAATTCTGTATAAAAAGTTTCTTAATTTATTTTTTAAATTTAATTTTTAGTTCTGTATAAAGTTTCTTATTTTATTTTTTAAATTTAATTTTAATTCTGTATAAAAAGTTTCTCAATTCTATTTCTTAAATATAATTTTAGTTCTGTATAAAATTTCTTATATTCTATTTTTTAAATTTAATTTGAATAATTAATTTAAACAGTTTGTGTGTGTGTATATGTTTTTTTTTTTAAATAATTTATTTAATATTTAATTTATGGAAACTAACATAAGTTAAATGAAGATTGTACATAGTTAGAATTTCTCTTATCTCTTTCTCTTTCTCTTTCTCTTACTTTTCGTTTTTATTTTTTTTATTTTTTTTTTTTCTTTAGTTGTATTTTTACTTTTTATCTTTTTTCTTCATCTTGGAAGAAATTTTCTCGGCATGGACGCGTTCCACGAGGCTGACGCGCTTGCTTTGCAGGTTTTCACGCATGACGCACCGCCTGGTACGTGAACTTTTCTTTTCGTTTTTCGGCTCGTTTCTTCTCCTTCCTTCCTTCCCTCCTTCGTTCGTTCGTTCGTTCGTTCGTTCGTTCCTTCGTTCGTTTTTTCGTTCTCCTTCAAGTTGGTTTCGTAGAACTCTCAAAAAGTATTTCGCCCAACTTTTCATCCAACTTGCTACAAAACGATGATCAATGTTTTTTTGGGTCCTATCTATCTTAATTCTGATTCTCTGAAGAATATTTTTCTATTTATCATTCTCTCTTTTTTTTCTTTCTTTCTACTTCTATTTCTGTTCAATGTTTTACGTGAATTTGGGACAAGGTCGAGAAATATTTTTTAATGAATGGACAATTTTAACTATCATTGGATTAAATAATAGTTTCTAATTAAATCACTAAAATCAAACAATTTTGGTGATAATTAATAGTTACATGAAATAACTTATTAATAATTTGCAAACCAAAAAAAAAAAACACACAAAAAGCATGTGCTCGTTAATAAGAAAAATACTTGAAATTTATAATAAAAAAAAAAAAAAAAAATAGAATAAATTAAACCAATAAAAAATCAAATTAATATTTAAAGTATAATAAAATAACAATAACAACAAAATGATGTCACAATTAGAAAGAATATTGCATTGGAATTTAAATAACTTATCTATTCGAAAAAAGCAGAACACAAAAACCATGTGTCCGTTAATAGAAAAATACTTGGAATTCATAAAAAAAAAAAATAAATTAATATTTACAGTATAATAAAACAACAACAACAAAATGATGTCACAATTAGAAAGAATATTGCATTGGAATTTAAATAACTTATCTATTCGAAAAAAGCAGAACACAAAAACCATGTGTTCGTTAATAAAAAAAATACTTGAAATTTATAAAAAAGAATAAATTAATATTTACAGTATAATAAAACAACAACAACAAAAAAATGATATCACAATAAGTAAAATAATTTGAAACAAATGAAAAGAAATAATAATAATATTTAGTATCTTGATGATGTATCTCTTCGTATAATATCGTTCGATATTTAAGTACGTTTGAATGTCATGCAACTACTTAGAAATAATAATAAAATAAAAAAATAAAAACAAAATAAAAGGAAAATAAAAAGAAGAAGAAGAAGAGTAAGAACGATGATGATGATGACGAAGAAGACGAGTCCCTCCTAGAAACGTTTACGATCTGAGATTTCCTCCTCGTGGCATCATCGAGAGATGGAAGAGGAGAAGAAGGAAAAGAAGAAGAAGAAGAAGAAGAAGAAGAAAAAGTAGGAGGGTCTTTGGTTGGTTTTACTATTTGCCTTTGCCAATGCAAAGGCCACTGCTCTAACGACGTCAGGCATTCCCAAGCCGGCAGCAAATTGCGTCCGTGCCGAAGTTATTCTTCGTGAATGCCGAGGAACGAAAGAACGAACAAACCAACCAACCAACAAACCAACCAACACACCAACGAAACGAGATGAGATGAGAAAGAGATTGACTGATCCACTCGTCGAACTCTTTTCTTACAAACTTGACCACTCACTCGAATCTCTTTTATTCATTTCTAATTTTCATTCTTTTCGAATTTTTTTTTTTGCAATATCCTAAATAATGAAACGAAATTTTTTAGTAAATTAATTACATTAATTAACATTCATACAATTACACACTTACTTATTTACATACTTACTTACATTCCATATTATGCATATATTAATAAATTATATTAATAATAAATGTAATAATAATATAATAATAGATATTATTATTATTATTATTATTATTATTATTATTATTATTATTATTATTATTATTATTATTATTATTATTATATATATATATTATAATATATAATATATNATTATTATTATTATTATTATTATTATTATTATATATATATATTATAATATATAATATATTTTATTATTATTATTAATTATATTATTTATTATATTATTTCTAATTATATATGATTTATATATACAATATAATTAATTTATTACTATAATTTTAATAATATATATATATAACTAAAATATGTAGACGTTTCGATTAATCCTTTCTTTATTTATTTTTTTTTTTTTTAAAACCTTTGAAAAGTTGTCGCCTTGGAAAGGTAACGACAAAAGAAAGAGAAAGAGAGAGTGAGTTAGAGAAAGAGAGAGAGGAAGGAAAGAAAGCCGGCTCCCGGGATGCAGGTTTGAGAATGGCACGATAGGTCGACGACGAAGGTGGGTGGCATTCGGCGCGACTGTTTGAGGGAACAGGGGGACCCCTGGCGCCAGACAGCTGCCGCGTGTCTCGACCTCGCTACTTCCTTCTCCTTTCCTCTCTTTCTCCTCCTCTCTTTCTCCTGTCTCTCGTCTCGCCACTAAACCCCCTCCCCTCTCTCTTTCTCTCTCTCTCTCTCTTTCTCTCATCCTTTCTCTCTCTCTTTCTTTTACCTTTCTTACTCTCTCTCTCATACACATTCATATACACACTTATGATCTTTCTCTCTCTCTCTCTCTTTCTCTCATCCTTTCTCTCTCTCTTTCTTTTACCTTTCTTACTCTCTCTCTCATACACATTCATATACACACTTATGAATGTATATTATATATATGTGTATGTATATGTATATGTATGTATGTATGTATACACTCACTCAATCTATCTCATCCTTTCTCTCTCTTTCTCTTACTTTTCTTACTCTCTCTCTCTCTCTTATACACACTCATACACACTTATGAGTGTGTATTGTACGTATCTATATGTATGCACTCACTCTCTCTCTCTCTCTCTCTTTCTCTTTTCTATAAACTCATACACTCATATACTCACTCAATCTCTCTCTCTCTCTCTCTATCTATCTATCTTTCTTTCTCTTTTCTATACACTCATATTACTCATACTTTTACTTATTTTCTCTTATTCTTTCTTACTCTCTCAAACACACTAATACACCATCA